GGAATTTGAAGGAGTGTTTCCTTTATTTGTTCCAAAGCTTGCTGACATTCCTTGGTCCATTCAAAGCATTTTCCTTTCTTTATAGACTCAAAAAAGGGTTTACATCGATCTGTTGACTTCGATAGGAACCGATTTAAGGCAGCAAGTCGACCGGTAAGAGCTTGTACTCCTTTTACCGACGTAGGAGGCGTGAGGTCCATTATAGCCTTTATCTTCATGGGGTTGGCTTCGATGCCGCGTTGAGTAACTATATATCCCAAGAATTTACCAGAACCGACTCCAAAAGTACATTTCTTTGGATTGAGCACCATGAAATATTCTCGCAAAATGTTGAACATTTCTTGTAAATGATCAATGTGGTCAACTGCATGAACCGACTTGACTAACATGTCATCCACATAAACTTCCATAGTATGCCCGATGAGTTTGGCAAACATTTTGTTAACCAATCTTTGATATGTGGCCCCAGCGTTTTTAAGACCGAATGGCATCATGGTGTAACAATATAATCCTCGGGCTGAATAAAAAGATGTATGTTCTGCTTCTTCAGGATCCATTGGAATTTGATTATAACCCGAATAGGCATCCATAAAGCTCATTAATTCATGTCCAGCCGTGGCATCCACCATATAGTCAATATGTGGTAACGGATAACTGTCTTTGGGACAAGCTTTATTTAAGTCGGTAAAATCAATGCAGAGTCGCCATGCACCAGAACTCTTTTTTCACTAGAACAGGATTTGACACCCAAGTCGGGTATTTTGTTTCTTGAATAAACTTGTTATCGATCAACTTTTGAACTTCTTCTTCGAGAGCTTTTTGCCGATCAGGGCCGATTTTACGTCGTTTTTGGACCACCGGTTTAATTGTTGGATCCAAGTTGAGTCGATGAGAAGCGACCTTTGGATCAATTCCTTTCATATCGTCATGTTTCCAAGCAAATACATCAGAATTGGCTTTGAGGAATTGAATGAGCCGAGTTCGTATGGGTTCTTGAAGATTGGCCCCAATTTGCACCGCCTTGTGACAGACAGGATCATCGATGAATATTACTTCAACTCCTTCTGATGGTTCAGCTCGTTCGAGTTTGCTTTTCTCATTGAATTGAATTCGAGGATCAAGTGCATCTTCTTCTTTAATTGGTTCTTTTCCAGGACGTCTCCCACGATCATAAACCAGGTCATTACTTAATTGTGCTAGGTCAAGTTCCATCTCGGTATTATATGATTCCGAGTTGACAAGAGTTGAATCTTCTCGGTTTTTTACAGCATTCTCCATCATATGTATTGGTGTATATGGTTCATGCCAAGGTTTGACCCATACCATTCCACGAGCTTCATACTGATCTCTGTAATGTGTTCCTTCTCTATTGTTGGTGGGAAATTTCAAAGCATAATGAAAGATTGAGACAGCTGCGCGAAGCTTATATAAAGCAGTCCTTCCGATGATGGCATTATATTGATTTTTAAGATCCATCACCTTAAACGTTTCCATGATGACTTTGGAAGCTTGTCCAGGAATTCCGAACCGAATTGGCATAGTAATTTCACCAAGGGTTGATGTTATTGTTCCATTAAAGCCTTGTACTTGATCCTTACAGGGTTTCAACTCGGCTGGATCGATTCCCATTTGTTCAAATGTGCGTAACATCATAATACTGGAATATGCTCCGGTGTCCACTAACATACGATGTATCGGTATTCCACAGATGGGTGCCGTAATTATCAAGGGATCAGCATGAGGGTGAGCAAAGTAACTAGCATCATCCACATTGAATGTTATCGGGCAATTATTTCGAGCATTAATTTTATCTCGGAGATCGGTAGTCAAAACAGTTTTACCCGAGTTAAAAGCTTTTCGAGCATATGCTTTCATTTGCCTCCGTGATTCAGACGTTGCATTGCTGCTATTATTGACCCGAGTAATGTGATGAGAATTATCAGGATTATAGTATTCTCCTTGTTGGGGCATCAAATCATTTTCTTCTTGGTTCATCATGTATATTTCTTTATCACTCGGCCTTATCCGTTTTGGATTAATTGGACGTCCCTCATCGTCTTCATCGTCTGGCAAATCAGGCATTCTTCCTTTTCGTTTGTAATCAGCATTTTTAGCAAACCTTTGGACTTGAGGATGTCCAATGAGTCGCAATAAGGCGGAGAGTAAACCGAGGCATTCGTCAGTATTATGACCCGCCGATTTATGATATGAACAATATTTTGTTTTATCAAGTCGGTCTTCGGGAGTTCTGACAGGTCGAGGGTCAGGAAGGATCCCTTTCCCTTCTAATTCTTCAAATATAGTTGCTGCTCCCGCCGAGAATACCGTCTGGTAGCTGGATTTGACTTCATTGAGATATTTAGTTCTGGCTTCTTGCACTTCAGGGATCTTTGGATTCCCAAATCGAGACTTATTTGGTTTGAAGAATTTACTTTTCTTCTTTTTTGACTCTTGCCCGACTTTCGACTTCAGCGAGGAAAAGTCGATATTAGGAACCGACATTGATTCTTCAGCTAAAATATGCTGTTGAGCCCGAGCTAGAAAGTCTTGAAACGAAGTTGGTTTATTCTGACATATACTCCATCGGAACAACGAATTTGGCTTTAATCCAGCTATGGCTGTGACCAATAGCGTTTCAGGATGGCATTGCTCCATATTTTGTATGCGTTCGTTGAACCGAGTAATATAATCTTTCACACTTTCGTCATCTTTTTGTACAATATTTGCAATTGATTCCTTGGGAATTAAAGAAACTCGGGCCCCGATAAAATGAGAACGAAAAGCCGTTCTCAATTGCTGCCATGTGGAAATTGAGTACCGAGATAGAGAATGATACCATTTTTGAGCTCGGGGTCCCAAAGTTAAGAAAAACATCCGACATCTGAGTGCTTCACTTGCTCCATGAAGATCCATCCAAGATGTGTACTGACCAAGATGAGCATCAGGATTGGAAGTTCCATCATATAAGCCAATTTGTGGAACTTTTACTTTAATTGGAATAGGCTCCCTAGTCAAATGAGGGGCCAGAGGAGTTCCAACCTCTTGATATATTTCTTCATGTTCATAATTGGAATTTGTCGTGGTAATTCTCCATGTTCATCTTGCCGAGTTTCTAATTCAGCAATTCTCTTCCTCAGTATCTCCAGCTCTTTTGATTCACGTCTTAAACGATTTCTTTCGATTAGACGACGTAATTCATTTTGCCCACGACGAGCTTGATTTTGTTCAAGAGTACGTCGTAAATCAGATGGTTGAATATGTTGGGATATTTCTGGTAACGAAGGTGCTGGTTGTTGTGGTCGATGCCCAGAATGGCTCTCTGCAGTAGCTTCCGATCGAACTGCTTCTGGAATGTGAGTTCGTACAGGAACCACTCCACGATTTTGAGTTGCAACATCACGCTGTGATTCATGCATACGTGGATGAGAAGTTGCATGCGACACAGCGGGAATTTCATTTCTTTGCGGAATTGGTGTAGGATGAGTTCGCGAATTAGCTGCTACGATTGGTTCTATTCTTGTACGTGCCATAAAATCAGTTAAATTTTTCAAGAACTCTGGATCTTGAAATAAAACTGAATAATTAATTGATGTAGACGGCACAACAGAATTTCCAGTTGTGTGAGTTGGGTGACGATTAACTCCGGCATCTGGATTACGTTCATTTCGCCCAGAATTCGACATCCTTTTGGTACGTTGTATTCAAGACAAAACAATCACTAAGAGAAAAAGAGAAGATGCGGGCCCTCCTTCTAGCGCCAAACTGTTGTTGTCTTGAATTAACAACTCTAAATTTAACACAGTAGATGTTAAGAAAATAAAGATAAACGTTCAATTTGATTTTATTCGTTATATTCACAAGAGTACAGGAGTCGGTTATGTGTTGAAAACCGAGATCATTAGAAGTCCATATACAATGTGTTCAAAAAGATCCCCGTACTATCATAAATTCTGCTATTTATAGTACGGTGGCTTTTGTCTTCTTCCTTGAAATGGATAAAGATGCATTTAATGTTGAGCTGCTTTACTTAAAGCGGCGGGAAACACCAATGATTGCCTTTTTGTTTTGTTGGTCCAATCAGATGCTTCTAATGATTACTTTCTGTTGGAATATTCGAACTTCGTGATAGTCGGTTGAACTGAAGTCGGTTTATTTACATTGGCTTTAGATGTCGGTTCTTGTGAAGACGGTTCTTTTCGAAGACCTTTGATAGTCAGATCTTTGAAAGTCGGTAATTCTTCAGAAGTCGATAATTTGTTTCAATACATACCGACTTGTTGTAAGTTTACTTTCTTGCGAAATTATTTCTTCGATAATATGATTAATCTCCATCTTCAATCTCTGTTACTGAATTTGATATCAACAAAAAATTCACTTGAAGTTAGAGAGATTGGTCCCAACTTCGTTCAATTTATTTTTACAAACCTAGAGGATCTCAAAAAGGTGGAATATTCGAAAATCAATTTCTCATCCTCCGCATATGGGAACCCGGGATGAACAACGCTGCTAAATGTTTTTCAGAATTCAAACTTTGGGTTCAAGTGTACAACGTTCTTCTTAACTGGCTTACGGCAAAAGTAGGGCTCAAAATTGGGGAAATTTTCAATGAGGTATCCAATGTGGTTGTGAGTAATTTACCTTTTCAAGGGGGACGATTAATCAAACTATTGGTCACAGTTGATCTCAATGAACCATTGCCCAGGTGCACGTCCATTAGGCTTGGTTCCCAAGTGGTTACTGTTTCTTTTAAGTATGAACGCTTAGTCAATCTGTGCTTTTACTGTGGGATGATTGGACATATTGAGAAGGCTTTCACTCTCAGAATGGAGGATATAAAGAACAAAGTACTCAAAGAGGGTCAATTTGGAGACTGGATGCGAGCTACTGATGGACTGCAGAGTCAGTCCTGGAATCATGCTGCCTCTTCTTCAGAACCAAATCAGGATCCCACACCTTCGCCAAACAATACCACTGCCAACATCAACTCATCAGGAAATGAAATGCCTATGACTAATGAAGTGGAAGCCAAAATCTCCTCTCGCAGTCAGGTTGAGCATAAAGGTCCTCACAGCACTAATACAAACAACAATGGGACATCTAATGCAACAACTCAGTCCTTTGAAAATGAGCTGGTTCTATATAGGCCCACCTCAACTCCAACAGAAATTATCCCAACAAATGACATACCAATCCATTTGGAGCCTATGCCTAATGAAGCAGAGGATCAACCTGGCAGACAAATGTCTGAATCCAAAGGGAGAATCAGGAAGGGAGTTGCCCAGGGTAAAACCACTTGGAGAAGAAATACACAAAGGGAGGGCAGGCTTCTTAGAAATTTCAAAGATAATTCCATGGAACTCTCAAACAATTGTGACCAAATGACCTGAAGAACTGAGACTCATCAACAAGGAGACAATCAAATTGAAGAATTGGAGGAGCAACAGGACAAGAAAGTGAAGCTGCCTTTATCAAAGGTGGAGAGAGCTTGCCTTAAGAAGCCCTTAGAGTCCTCATGAATGCTCTGGTGTGGAACTGTAGAGGTCTAGTTGGGCCCTCTACAGTTCCCCAGATTAAGGAATCCTTAAGGATCCACACCACCCCTCCTTTCTTTTTCTTTCTGAAAAAAAAAAAAATCTTTTCTTCTGTTTGTTTTAAATTGGGTTTTGCAGATAGGCATTATATAGTGGAGCCTAGAGGCACAGGGGGAGGTCTTATATTACTCTGGGATGAGGAAGTGGAGGTTGTACACATTTATAGTCAAAGCTTCTTCATAACTGTGAACTTCAAGTAGAAGACAAGTGGAAATTCTTGTTGGGCAGTATTTGTGTACATCAGTCCAATAAAGGCTGAGAGAATCCACCAATGGGAGCAACTCTTACATGAAAAAGACAAATGTGGATCTGTGTGGTGTATAGCAGGGGACTGGAACTCTTTATGCAGACCAGAAGACAAGAAAGGGGGTCACCTAAATCTAATAAAAGCTTCTGGGAGTTTAACCACTTTCTTTCTCAACTAGGTGTTCAGAAAATTCCCTTGCAGGGATTGACCTATACTTGGGCCAACAACAGATCAGTCCAAGGGTATGTGGAAGAAACACTAGATAGATTGTTTGTATCTTTGGATTGGATGGCCATATTCCCAGACACTAAGGTGGTTAGCTGGTTCAGAAGTGATTCTGACCACACCATATTGGTCATCTCTACTTCAACAGCAACCGGAAAGTATAAAAAGAGATTTCAGTTTGATAAAAGATAGGTCCACAAGGAAGGAGTTGACACTATGATTAAAGAGGCATGAGAGGCGCCTACTCTTGGTACACCTATGTTCATCATTAAAGAAAAAATCAAAAGAACCTGACAAGCCTTGCTAAATTGGAGCAGATATTTCAGAGCAGAGCATTCTTCAAAAATTAGCAGGCTCACCTTGCAGTTGGAGGATCTTAGAAATGAGGGGGGAGATAGAAACTGGGATACTTGGGATAGACTTCAGAGAGATTTGGATGCAACCAATGTATCAGAAGAAATATACTGGCAGCAAAAAGCTCGAGCTCTCTGGTTCAAGGAGGGAGATCAGAATTCAAATTTCTTTCATGCTTATGTCTCTCAGAGGAGGAAAATCAACTCTATTGTGACACTGGTAACTGAAGGACAAACTACTACTGACAACCCTGAAGATATCAAGAGACACATCACAGATTTCTACACTAAGCTGTACTTCAAATGGTTCTAAAGGTGGCCATGAGCTTCTGCCATTGATCCACAAAACAGTTACAAATGATATGAATGCAATCCTGACAGTCTCTGTTGAGGAGGATGATATCAAAAGAGCGGTCTTCAGTATCCACCCTGACAAAGCTCCAGGTGAAGATGGCATGACAGGCCTTTTCTACCAACACTTCTGGCCAATTATTTGTAAGGACATTATTTTTGTTGTTCAAAGCTTTTTTGAATCAGGCCAGCTTTTAAAATACTGGAAGCACACCTTAATAACATTGATTCCCAAATGTTTCGATCCAACTTCTATCACTCAGTACAGACCAATTAGCCTTTGTGTTGTGTTCTACAAAGTTATTTCCAAAATTTTGTCACTGAGGCTAAGAATCTGTCTTAATGAATGCATCTCAAAAAATCAAGCAGCCTTCCTTCCAGAGAGACAGTTGCTTGACAATGTTGTTGTTGGGCATGAAGTCTTCCACTTTTTAAACAGGCATAGGTCAGGTAAAAATTTCTTCATGGCTCTTAAACTAGACATGATGAAAGCATTTGACAGCCTGGAGTGGAAATCAGTTCAATTAACTATGTTGAGGATGGGCTTTAGTAATATTTTTGTTAAATGGATAATGGCATGTATACAATTTCCTACATTTTCTTTTAATTTGAATGGCCATGTGGGTTTGTTACAGCTTCCAAGGGCTTGAGGTAGGGGGATCCTCTATCCCCCTACCACTTTATCATCATTTCTGAGTTGTTGTCTGCTAAGATTAAGGATGCTGCTGAGAAGGGTTGTTACAAAGGGGTCAGACTGTCAAAAGATGGCCCCACATTGACCAATCTATTGTTTGTAGATGATACCCTGCTATTCTGTAAAGCAAATACTCAGTAAGCTAGAAAAATTCTTCAAATTCTCCAAGCCTATCACAACTTCACAGGCCAACAAGTGAATATGGCCAAATCAACAGTCTTTTTCAGCAAAAACACACCACCTCAGATTCAGAACCAGTGCTGCTCTATCCTCTCTGGCATTCAAGTCCATTCATCTACAAGATATTTGGGTTTATCAATGGGAATTGGGAGATCTACGAGAGAGGCTTTTGACTATATTCTCATAGTGGTAAAAAACAGAGTCGGTAGCTGGAAAAACAAGTGGCTCTCTACTACAGGTAAGGAGATCCTTATTAAGGATGTCCTCAATGCCCTTCTTGTATTTGCTATGTCTTGCTTTGTCTTGCCTATTACTTTGTGGCATCTGTGGAGATTTTTGGTGGAGCAAAGGCAATGACTTACAAAAAGGGTTCCCCTGGATGGCTTGGAGCAAACTGACTTTGGCTAAAAATTATGGAGGACTTGGATTATAGGATATACAACTCTTCAACACAACCCTTATAGCCAAACAACTTTGGAGGTTAGTTTCATAGCCTGAGACATTGGTGAGCAGGATACTTAAATCTAAATACTACCCAACCTCCACTATTTTTGAAGCACAAATTACACAAAGCTCATCCTGGCTTTGGAGAAGTTGGCACTCGGTTTTGCAGATTTGTGCCAGGTGGATGCAGGTGGAGATCAGAAGTGGCACTAGCATCAAAATCTGGGACCAACACTGGCTACCAACACTCACAGGCCAACCAGTTGAAGGGCATTGATTCTGTGTATGGGTAAAAGACTTAATGACCATAGATGGCTGGAACTGGGATATCAGGAAGCTAAAGAGCACATTCCCTCCTCATATTTGTGATTTGATTTAGACTATTAAAGCTCTTAATCCAAACCCACCTGATAGATGGACTTGGAAGCTCCACAGCAAAGGGTTATCTCTGTGCAATCCACTTATGCTCATCTTATTGCTGAAAAATTTCTCAAGACTGAACCTGCTCAAGGGAGTTGAGATTTGGCCAGCGACATCAAAGTGAGGAGCAGAAGCTGAAAAATGCAGGTAATGGGCAAACTCAAACACTTTATTTGGAAGCTCTGCAATGGCACATTACCTGTTAATCAGAACCTATTGGCTAGAGGACTTACTGTTGACAGTATCTGTAGTTTGTGTGGTGATGATGTGGAAACAGTAGAACACTTATTTTTCCACTACTCTCTTGCAACCTGTGCAATGGGATGGCCCGCAAGGAAATGCTAGCTTCCATGACTGGTGGTGGTCAATTTGCCAATTGGACAGGTCGGAGACATCAGAAGCAAGGATTCAGCTCTTCAATTACTTGTGCTGGTGGCTCTGGAAGACACGCACTCTGTGGATATTTGAAAGGGTTAGAAGGCCTGCTCATCTAATTGTCCGGGCAGCCCTGCAGGACTGACACTCTTTTAGGACAAGCAGATCATCCAGGCCTTGAGATGGTACTTATAATTTTTGTTTGTGTGGTTTCTGGTTTTAGTTCCCTTCTTTTCCTATTTTCTCAGATTCTGTTTTTTTGGCTATGGAGTTAAGGTCCCAGTTAGTTACTGCCTTAACCCTTATGGTAGTTTAGTTGGGCTCTAGGCCACCAGTTTGTGTGGTTCTCTCATTCCCGGCTCTTTTAGTTTGTGGTTTTCTGTAGCTATTTGTGTATTGTTTGAGACTTTAAACATTGTACCTCATATTGTTATTAATGAGATCTTGAAAAAAAAAATCCCGCAAAATTTATTTATTTAATTTTCAAAAACAAAAGTGATTACAAACAAATGTCAGAATATTTTAACATTTTTTTAGTGATTTCGTTTGTTTTACTTTTATTAATTTTCCATGTTTATAGATAGAAAGGAAATCAAGAAGTGGGTCGAGCATCCCCAATGCTCTTTCCATTGCTTTATGTTGTTGTCACATGGCACAAAAAATTTGATGTGACATGGAAAATGTCTAGAAAGCTTTCTAGACGTAGAAGTCCTTCTAAACAACTTTTATTATATATTATATTATTTATTCATTTTATCTTTTTTCTCCAACCAATTACAATTTTACACATCATAAATGATACCACAATTAATACTAAACATTAGAGACATAATTTTTTAATTTCATTTCTCTATGTCATACAACATAATTTTTATTGGAGATGCTCTTACCTGTATGTCAATAATAATTAATTAATTATTTGAACTTATCGCACGGTGTATACCTGTATGTGGGCCTACGGCCTCCTTTCTTGTAAAAATAAAAAAAAAATAAAAAAAATATAATAATAATTAATGATCTGAACTTATCGCACGTTGTTAGTATACAGCCTATCCAAATCCAAGGGTCACTATCAACTTTTACCATCCTGTGGTCCATAATAACATACTGACACCATTCGCTTGCGGAAGGGTAGTCGTGCCCATATAAATATATTATTTATTTAGATCTTCTTTGAAGTTGTAAACAGATCTAGGGAATTATGACACCATTATTTGGCCGCTCATTTTTTTTATTTTAATGAACTCGAAATTACTGTGTCCCTCTCTCAAAGTCCAATAACAGATCTTGTTATTTCTTTCATCATCTTCTTATTTGTACTTCCTTAGTTCCATCGTCAATCACTCAAAAATGAATGGTTTGCAATTGAGGCAGAAGAGCACGTATCATCATCATCATCATCATCATCCTGGCTTTGCCGATGGGCCTGCGCAGACAAGCAGCTGCAGCGATTCCAATCTCATCGAAGACGACGATGGCCCCACCGACTATTTCGGCGGAGTCTACG